CTGGGGTAAGTATCTTTATATGATACAATACGAATTTTTTCACAAGAAGCAAAAAAATTTTACTTTATCCAAGAAATATCTGTTATACAAGCATTAATAGCACGCTGCAGTTTTTGTGATACATAAATCTGCATCACGTTATACAAACTGCATCACGCTGCGTCATATAACAATAACAATAACAGATACAGTTAGTGTAATGCAACGTATTATATCACGTGATTTTTTTGAAGTTGTTACAAATAAAAATGTATAACATGTTGTTACAAATAGATTTATTCTAAAAATAATAATTATAATTATGTCAATTTTATCAGATTTGTTTAAACTGTCAATTCCTGCTGATTTCAATATAAATAAATAGGTTTTTATAATTAAGCTACTTTTAATAAATAAAATTATTTTTAAAAGTAAATAAATATTTTGTAAATCTATTTTACATTAATTATATATTATATTTTCAATTTTACTAGTTTTCTAATAAGATTCTTATTTTTAGATATTAATTAAATGCAGAGATATTTAATTTCAAAAAATGTTTAATAATAATAAAATATGATATCTATACTATATGATATTAGAATAAAAAAATATTTTCACAAAAATCTTTTAGCTTTTAATAAATATATAATTACATATTTTTTAAAATAATCTAAAAAAAATCAATTAGAATGATTTTTGATGATTTAGCTAAAAGTTTCCTTACATGCTAAAATTTATAAGTAAAAATTTTTAAATTGTAATATTATATTAAGAAAAAAAAAGGTAAAAAAATACTTTTTTTAAAAATATATTAAGATTAATAAAATCTTTTTTATATTTAAAAAATAAATAAAGAAATTTATTTTATTTTTTTTATTATTTTTACTAATATATTTTTTGATATTAGATAATTAGAATTAGGCTCAATAACTTAATTAATACATTAAAATCTCTCTTAACAAAAATTAATAATATTATATTTATTCTTTATGTAATTGATTATGAATAAAAGATTTATAAAGATATAAATTAAAGGATAAGATTAGTAAATAGTTTAATAAAAACACTATTTTTAATAATATTTAAATTCTTATTATATCTAATTAGTTCTATAATATTGTAATATATATTTTTTATATATTAATTATTAAAATTTATATTTTACAAATTATTGATATTTTATGAATTTGATAACTTTAACAAAACTTGTATTTTCTTAATCTGTTTCTATTACTTATTATTAAGAGTATTTATTTTACACATTAATTTTTATTTTTTTATAATTAAAATATTATTTGAGTTCTTTATTTGTTATATAAAATATTATTATGTTTATATTTCATTCATAATTTATTTTTTTATTTTTTTATTTTTATTTATATATATTTCTTTTCATTTTTTTTAGTTCTATTAAATAATATATTAAGTAATTGACCTTTGTATATTTTTAATAATCCTTTATTTATATATTTTTTTTTTATTTTCTAATTTAATTTAAATTTTATCTTCAGTTCTTTTTAGTTATTCTTCTTTAAATATTTCTTCAATTATATTTTATTTTTATTATTTCTTATATATTTATTAGAGAACTTTAATCATTTTATCATGTTTCTTCTTAGTTATTTTTTATAAAATTTCTTTTTTTATTCCTATTATTATTTATACATTTGTTAACTTTATTCATAATAAATATTTTTTCTTTTATATATTTCTTATTCTTCTATTATATCTTTTTTTATTTTTATTATTTTATTATATTCTTTAAATCTTTATTCAATTATTTTATAATTGTTTTTTATTATTTTATCTTCTTCTTATATTATCTGTATTTCATTATTATTATATTTTTTTATATTATTTCTAAATAATTTATAAAATAGTAATACATAAATAATAAATAATTACATTTTTATACCTAAATTCTTTTATTTATTTTAGAATAATTATTACATAATTTGTTATAAGACTAATTATATCTAATTTTATATTAATTTTAATATTGAATACTTTCATAGATCATTCTCTTAATTCTCATTTCTTCTTTCATATCCTATTTTTAATTTTAATATTTCTATCTCATTTCTAATTCTAATTCTTTAAAATATTCATTTTTATTTTTAGGTGCTTAATTAATTTCTAATTCTTATACAATATTTCATATTCTCAATTCTTTCGCTTGTTTTCCTTTTTCTTCTAATTCCTATTATTTCATCTTATTTCTGAAAATCATTACATTATTATGTTGATTTCTATATAATTTTATTATATTAAATAATAGAATTTTATTTACTAAGCATTTTTTAAAGAGTTGCGAAGCTTGAATCTCATTTAATTGATTATCTTGTATCTCTGAATTTTTCTTGATTTATTCCTTTGAGAACGAATTTCCTTAAGGTCGAATTTGAGAACATCTTTTAAATTTTCCTTGGCAAGATTTGTTGCAATTAATCCTAGTTTTGATTCCTTGAGATCTGCTGTGTAATTTTGAGCTTTTTTCAGGTGGCGAGCACGTCTTGAAATAGGAGGCATTTTATCATTAAACCTTAAAAATTTGATAAACTTTTAATCTATTGATTACGGAAAAAATCCAATAGTAATTTCACTGGCGTGACATGTATGACAAAATACATCATTCTAATCATTCTAAGCCACCATCTACATACTATATAACTGAACATGAGATATTTTTTTTTGATCGTCAAAAGCTTACTCATTTCGTTTAATTCGTATTATTTGTATTCCAAACAAAATGTTCAACAAGGCCTTTTATAGAAAATATAAAAAGACTGGTTTGTGGTTGTTTAATAATTGTCAACTCGATCAATATTATTAAATGATACTAACTTACTTGGAACCAAAGAAACCACCAGTTCGAACATTTTTATTGAAATTGCTCGTCTCAACCTTGCTCAAGAACAAAGGTCTACCCTACTTTCATACTTCATTGTAAATGATAAAGCCAAAGCTAGTGCGAAGCAAGCCTTTGCTGTCTGTATAAATGATGACGAGAAACTTCCCTATTTAAACAAGATCTTGATTTGTATGTTTTTTTATTACTAATGTTTTTTTTTTGTTCGTTTATATATTCTAATGGTGTTATCGTGCTAACCTACACACAGTAAATAAGAACTTTGACTTACCTGAAAAGTCTCATTCATTCAATTGAAACTGAATCGGTCAATGGTTTGTGATATACTGATATTCTATATTCTGATGAAGTATAAAGTATGCTAAAATTACCGACCTTCTTACAGGTGGTAAAATGTCTAAACCTATGACTGAGTCCGAAGCGAAAGAGAAGTTTAATGATGCATTTAAAGAGCATGTCAAAAAATTCAACTCCAAAGATGCAGATCAAAAAGTTTGTTCAGAAACTTGAACTCAATAAACTTGAATATTACGAGCCATTGAAAGTAGAGGATATAAAGAAATTTTATGGTACACAATAAATCTGACACTCCGTTTGATTTATATATATGAATTATTTATATATTTATTATCACTTAACAGAATTTGTTGGACCCGATTTCGAGTGGCCTTCTACAAGTCGTATCAGTGAGCGCCGTGCTATATATGATTACATTAATAATCCTGGTAAATGTTAAGTAGAAGGAGACTCGCCATTAATAGACTTGCATACCGTCGGCTTATAGAGTCTGGAAGCCTTGATGAATCTAAAGGAAGTTATATCCTTCTTATAAATGGAAAGTTAGTGGTTATGGACATAAGTTATCTGGAGAGGAATATCTTGAACTCGAAAAGAAAAATCCTGGTATGTTGTATGCTCCTATCAAACAAATGACAGTTGTCATCAGATTCTCTTCGACCGCAAGTGTGACATTGAAGGAATGGCAGGTTTGTGTTGCTTTTACATGCAAATAAATATTGGACATTGTTGGGAACTTTCTTTTGCCAAAATATCAGGTGCATATGCGAATTCGAAGAAAGAGTGATTCTAATAATGAAGTTGCAACAATGGCCAATGTTGATCGGGACACGAATAATCGAAACTTTCGGCTTTTAATTGATTCAGGATCAACAATGACCATTATACCACACTTCATAAGAGAGAGGATGAATAACGATTATGGTTGGAGTAAATTCCCAATCCGTTCCAGTGGTTATGGGGAAAATGTGGAAATTTATAAGGCTAATTCCGTGGGAAGTCTCATTAGGTGATGGAGTGATCTGGACAGACTGGATTGAGACCGATGAAATATTTTCGTGGTAAAAGCTAGTTCCTAATGATATTGATCGCGGTCTGGTTGGTTTTGATATACTAAACAGCACCTACCAAATTAAAATTCCAGGAAGACCATACATTTTCATGACGGAAAACAACAGATTTAAGTTTGAAATTTGCATGTTAAATTGAACAAATTATATTAGGCTTTGCGATACAAAAATTAACTATGTAATGCGATTAATAAAATAATACAAATGGCGGAGACTTTATATAATTGATTTATTAAATTTGGCGTAGTAATGTGGCGCAATAATTACGCTTACTCTTCACACAAGAAAATTTGTGACAATTAAAATAAATTACACAAGCCCTGAATACATGAAAATTTTCTACTATTATAATCCGAACTTTTGAAAGTAGTTCGACTTTCGCCTTTGTATTAAAAAGGACACACTACTACTGGTTTTACAAACGTTTGAACACGAAACTCGGAGATAGATTGCTGCGGCGTTTCGTAATGAAGGAGGGCTTTTTTATCTTGGGGAAAAATTTATTGTTCCTTATTTTGGAAGAATTTTAAACAAAAACATCCGGATTTAGCCATGATCTGAATCTGAAAACAAAGCTCTATATAAAGGGTATTAATTTTCCTAATTCACAAAAAAAAAAAAAAAAAAAAATTTTTCTCAACCACTTTTTCAAAATGTCAAAAAAAGTTGATATTATTGCAATTTTAAGTCAAAATTATCGAGAATGTCATGAAATCATCATGAACATACTCAAAAATGATTTACACACATTATATTCATGCATCCGCGTAAATAGATCATTTTGTAGAATTTTTATTCCAATCCTTTGGAGAAACCCTTTTAAATTCATTAAGAAAGATAAAAAATTAGTTCAATTATTTAACACGCTGGTTCGTTGTCTTGACCCATCAATAAAAGCTTATTTGAAACTTGTAGGTTCGACATTTTTCAAGTATCACACGTATATTAAAGAGTTTGAATTGAACCCTTTGCAAAGAGCGATGGAACTTTGGACCTCAGCAAATCTGTTAAAAGAACCAAATGACAGTCGATCCATCAGGAGGACTTTTAATTTTAATCATTATATCGGGAATTTACTCTTTAGCAAGGAGAATAAATATCATTCGCTTGATGTTTTTTACACCGAATTATTAAGTGGACCAAGTTCCTTGTTTGACATTTGTGAATTTAGGAATCATAAATCAAGTTTAATCAATGTCAACAGATTGTCATTGGGATTTTTTAATAGGAGTAGTATGAGTTTAATACCGTTAATTACTACGAATTTTCTAAACCTTCAAAATTCATTATCACCATATCTTCAACATTTACATATTTTTATTAATACGACAAAGTATCATCCCGAATTTTCAAAAAATCTAGTTGATTTCATTCAATCCCAACGACATTTAAAATCTTTAATAACAAACGTTAGCTTGATTCCTGAAGCTTTTCTTAACGCATCAAAATCTTTAACATTTTTGAGATTAGTAAATTTTAAAATTTATACCACGGCACTTTTATCCATATTAAATTCTTTACCAAATTTAATCACACTCGAACTTAACCTGGTCCCTATGAATTCTGATGGGGATGATTCACAAAAAATTTCAACCCTTCCAACGTCCCTATTTAATAATTTAAAACACCTAAATTATAATTATCGTATCACCTTCCTTTCCAAAAATTCAAGAGCACTCCTTAAACGACTCCTTTCATCAACGAATAATAATTTGAAATCCCTTAAAATTAAAGATATTTATTGTCCTTTAATTAGGGAAGTTCAAGAACAAAGTCATTTAAATTTAACTCATTTTCATTTGGTTATAGATCACGATTATGCTTTGGTGGATTTAATAGTTTTATTAAAGGACCTACATCAATTGGTACATTTAAAATTAAATACCATCTCGGATCGATATTATTTATCGGAATGTGGTCATTTATTTAGAGAGTTCACTCAATCGCTTGCTCGTTCTTTAAAAATTCTCGAAGTCAATTTTGCCATGGTGGATAAAAATTTAAGAATTTTACTTAATGAATCAAAATTTAATATTCAATGCGTCAAGTTTTATCGTTACGAAGCTTACAAAGATACTTCATTGAGAATTCTTATTGATTACGCAAAGAGAAAAAAGTGTCTGAAAGAAATCGGAATTCCTTATTTCACAAGAGCATCTTACCTTTCAAAAGAATGTGTAAAGGAAGCAAAAAATCATTTTAACATAACGGTACACGCTGACGAAGAAATTAATAATCTATTTTATGGTAAGTTTTATCATGTGTATTTTATTTTATTTTGTTTTTTTTCTTTCATTAAATTAATCTCTCCTTTTAATTGTTTAGATGTGCCGATTAAAACTTCGAATTGGAACTATCGAACATAACAATCCTCTCTGTGAAAATTGTAGTTTAAAAAAAGATACCTATTATGAATGTATAAAAACCCTATCTCCCAAAAACCTTTTCTTTTTCCAATAAAAAAATGTTAATTAGTCCGAAATCCGTCATTATAATTTTGCTGGTACATTATTATTGCTCTTTGCCTTTAAATCATTCAAGAAATCTCTTGCAAAAGTTTCATCAATTAACTCATTTGGGAATATTTGTTCAACGAGTTTCATCCTAGCTTGTCTTTTATTCTCCGTCTCTTCTTTTTCTTCTATGCTCTCATTCTTAAAGAATCCGGAAGTTTCAAATAATACTTCGGGTTTAATCGTTTTACCACTAGGTTCTTTAAATATAACCTTTAATAATGCTATTGAAGCGATTGCATTGGTGCGATGAATTCTAAAATAACTTATTATAAAAATCCATTTGTGATCCCATGTAAATACTCCACTATGTATCGAAAAACTTGAAAATAGTGGAATTTCGCTTTTGAAGATGTTTGTGACGGCTAAAAGATAAAATGAAATCATTCGAGTGAATAAAAATAAATAAAATGGAATAAAAAATGTATATATTTCTATCCTTACATTTTAAAATAATGACTGGTCTAAACTTCCAAAATGCATTAGCAAATAATGAAACCATTAGCTTCGTTCGTGAAAAATCTAGCAATTTGTAATATGAGCTATTCCAATTAAAAATAAAGACTTTAATTTTTTCTTTTCATTCAAGGAGATTACGAGAAAACGATTTTATTATTTTTTTTTTTTTTTTAAAAAAAAAAAAAATCTAATTACCTATTACTCATATGTATATTAGAATCCATCTAAATTTTTTTTTTTTTTTTAAAAAAAAAAATAATGTATAAATAAAAGAAACGAACAAACAAGCATCTAATAACTTACGTCATCGAACAAAACGGTATTTTTATGTTCAATTGTTCGAAACAAATCTTTTTTCTCTCCTTCCTTATTTCTATATGTTAAAGATCTCATAACTATTGAAAAATGTCTAATGTGATATGCAAATGGAAATGATTTTATGTTTAAAAGTATTATTGTGAAAAAGATCGATTTTAATATCGTTGTTATGTCTGGAGTCATTTTGATGATGATTTTTTTTTTTCCCTTCTTAAAGATGTTTTCTAAGCGTTATATATATATAAATATATCTAAAATGACGATTTATGCAACTATTATGCATGCGTTATTTGTTCCCATCTTCATTTTATCAATATCGTGAAACAATAATCATTTTTAGAAATTTCAGAGGTGATCGCGCGAAAACAAATTTTAAAATTAATCTTATTTATATTGATGTTGAACAAGAAAAGTTTTATGTATAAAGTAATAATAATAATAATAATAATAATAATAATACATCTTTTAAAACCCAATTTGCGAATCGCATCAAAAATAATTAAATAAATCATCAATCTAATTCTCGTTATTTTTGCTTTCGTTCCTATTTCTTAAAACTCCGGTACTCCAAGTTCTCTTGTTTAAATTTTTATTTCCCCATCTCCACCTGACATATTTCTTATTATGAGAATCTAGTAAAACATCATCATCACAATTACCAAATAACGGCAACCCTTTTCTTAATCTACCATAAATTTCAACGATAACCAACAATAATGAAAGCATTGAAGTTATAATGATCAAATTTAATGAATTAATTTTACTTAATGGTAATAATACGTAAATCGTTCCAATTATGAACCTTAATGAAATTCGATAAGACTAAAAAATACAAATTTTCTTTAATAAATCAAATAATTTGATACTTTTTTAAATTTGTTAAGATGTTTACCTTTCGAATTCTTAGGTAATTAGCATCATCTAATCCTTTGTGTAACATTCCAATAAAAGCCATACAATATAATGAAATCGCCAATGAAACACAGTACAACCAACGTAATGATGAAGTAAATCCTGCGTCATCCGTAGTTGCAGAATCAGGAGTCGCTCTTGATTCTAAATGAGCCACACTGTCTTCTACCGGTATATATTGAGAACCAGGAAAATCACGAAGTTGCACCATTTTACCTAGTGACGTTCTATAGAAAAAAAAATTGCCTAATAATTTCGGTACGATCAAAAGATTCGAAATTAAATCTTTAAATGAATTTACCCAAATGCAATCAACGCCATATTCTAGAATAAAATGTTTAGTTAATAAAAAAAAAGGTCATTACGTGTTCAATTCATACATTTTTAGTAGTATAAATAAATCACCATGGGAAAATGTATCGATGTAAATAATATCCCAGTAAAAGCGTGTCTTCTTACGGCATGTTGAAATTGTCTACTAGCATCCACATCGAAATATATCCAATGCAAGTTATACGCAGTTAATAATCCTAATATTGCCTAATAAAATATATCAACAGTAAGTATATCAGTGATAAATACATCAAAAATTAAGGTCAACTCAATAACTGACCTTGACGAGCTGACCATCAGGCGACGGATTGAGACTAGTATATAAGATTCCTATAATCTAAAAATAATATAAATCAATTAAATCACCAAATAATGAACTCACGTCACGAGCTCTTTGCTACGTATACTTACCCCTTCACCTAAAGCTATAATAGTAAATAATCCTAATCTTTCACTATAATGTTCTATATTTAATGCGGGTTTATATTCTGAAATTCTGAATATTGGTAATAAATCCTCCCATTTCCATTGATATTCGGTACCACGAGTCTTCATTTTTTTATTTGGCGCATGCTTTTTTGGAGAAGTTGAAGTGGGTGAGGTGGATGAGGTGGGTGAGGTGGGTGAGGTGGGTGAGGTGGGTGAGGTGGGTGAGGAATCGTTAACTAAAGTACTCTCCAAAGTAGCTGTCGAATTATCGGTTGTTTCAAATTCTTGTGCAGTCTTATTTTGATTAAATACTTTACTTGCATATCGATTCAAGAATAAAATGCCGCCAGACCATAGATTCTCTATCGTTAAATAGCAAAAAAAAAACCTCTAAGTTTAAATCACGGAGAACAAAAACGTTCTTTATATTACCAAATACGAATGCAGCCCACATTACTGCGATCCTATTTCTAGGAAAGAATATTGCTATAATCCAAAGAATACATGGAATGAAGATTCCCCATGCAGTATTTATAAACGGTATACGAAATAACGGGATCCATGTCGCATGTAACAAATTCAAAAACATGAACGTCATTCGTGCAATTACGAAAGAAACTACATAAATAATAACACAAATAAACAAGTAAATATGTTGGCCTTAATTCTTTTAGGTGAGGCATTAATTGTCAGATATTAATACTTACCGAGAAAAATATGTGTGGTTTCACCGAATAAATCTGACGCGTGTGATCCCATAGTAATTACAAGTACCATTTCCTAAATTGTGTCTAAGAATTAATATACCAATTTTCTGCGAAACAATGACGATATAAATGTATATGAATTTATACTTACAAAAAACAAGAGAAATTTCTCAAGTAAATCATCTGAGCTATACATATTCAAATAAAGAGTCATATCATACCATATTCTCCAAATAGGATAACTAAGTTTTTTTTATAAAAAATGCATTATTGGTTTGCTGCGTCATACAATCTTTTACTTTTCGATAATGCTTACAATGTTAAAATAAATCTCTCAATATTAACGAGAGAAACATCTTCGACCAAAACATGACCTAAATTTCCAATCACGGCTACGAAAATCAAATCCCAAAATAATTCTGTAAAATTCACTCTTCTTTCTTCAGCTTCTCTATGTAAAGTGCCAGCATGAAAATATTGTCTAACTCTAGGTTTTCTCATTAATCTATCATGTTTATGATATTCTTCAGCCGAATCTTCTTCATCTGCTATTATTTCAAGCTTTTGTAATGTACCAAATGTACGAAACGTGGCATGAATTGTTTGTTCATTATTTTTTTGATTATTGTCATGACCTAGTTGTGATAATTCTTTTACAAGTTGATCAAGTTGTTTTGATACGGATTCGGAATGTGATAAAGCTTCTCTGCGTTCTTGCTCCAATTGTTCGGAATGTGCATTCAATTCTTCAATTTTTGCCTTCAATGCTGCTACCTATTTAAATTAGGTATAATTTAAATACAATTAACTAAATATTGTATAAATATATTGAAATAAATAAACGTGTCTTAAATATATTTACATGTTTTGGACTACCGAGTACACAACAACTAAGAGCTTCCCCGCTTATAATATCATCCTCTTTGTCAACAACCAATAATTTTGTATCACCGATTTGCAACTTTTTTGAATAGTTTAATGGAGCAACTGGAGATATTTCTAATGCTATATCCTTATTTAATGAACATTCTTCTTGCGGTTGATCCTCCGGAACATCATTTTGTTCCGTCATGTTATTGGAAGTGAATTCAAATTCAAAAAAAAGGGGATCACATTTGAATTTACCATATATATATAAATACACAATTTGATTAATAATAAACAAGATTGATTTCTAATCGATTTCGTATTTAGTACAGTAAATGTCAATCATTAAATCATAGAATCCCGTGAAATTCATGGTAAAAAGGCAAACTAAAATGTTTGCTATTAAAAATATTTCATTTGAAAAGGTTTCTACTACTTATTTTTGATTTCTTTATATTTAATAATTTTAGTTATAATTTAAAGTATTATAAAATATTTGAACTTAATTTAGAAACAAATTTAATAATTCAATAATAGATTTAGATTTTAAAAAAAATATTATATAGAATATTTAAAATCAAAAATATTTAAAGCTTTGAATAGGTTAAATTAATTTAAATATATTCGATTTGTTCTAATCTTATATTATGTGATTTTAATCAAATATATAAAAAATAAAAATAATATTAATATGATAATAAAGAAAGTAAATAAATCTATTTAATATGTTGATCAAAAAAATAGGAAAAATGTATTTGTAACATCCTATTACATGTCTTATTTGTAACACCCTTTTTATTTATAAATAAGATTTTTAAATGCAAAATTTAATTTAGAAAACTTTTACTTAATGTATTAAAGATAGTTTCATAGACAAAATTTTCAGTTACAAAATGTTTTTTGAAATTTTTTAAAAAAAATTCTTATTTTCGTTACACGACTGATCTTTTGTTTGTTTTGATTTGTTAAATTATTGACGTTACACCTGATCCTAAATTTTGATTGGATAAAATTTTGGATGTTATAAATAAGATATGTAACAGAATGTTACAATTAGATTTATCTAAAAAAATATAATAAAAATTAAAATTAATAAATAAATGTATTCTTTTTAATAAAATTAGCTAATCTATTTATTTATAATATTTTATATTTATTAGTTAAATAAATACAAATGATATTATATTTACTATTATTTTATATAATATTTTTGCAAAAAACTTTATATAAAATTTTTATGAAATTTATACAGAGGCCTACAGTAATTTACCGGATTTTTGTTACGTGAATTAGTAGATCGGTATTACAATCGCCGATTAC